GTGTATTACTATTTTTAGCAATACAATGATACAAAAATTATGTTGTAAAAAAATTCATCTCGATGCTATTCACATATTTTGGGGGTGTGCTGCTTTCCCCCCCTTTCTCTGATCCTATGCTCGGCTATCCACCATACCACATCTCTGAAGCCCCAGCATTACTCATTTTCCCCAGACTGCCCTTCTCTTTATCATGGCCATTGAAGAAGGTGTTCTCCAAGGCTTTCTACGCACTGAATGTGGCCCCAGGCCATGCTGAGACCTCAGATCTAGAGAGCTTTCTGTGATAAACTGATGCTGTTCCAGATCATAACACAGGAGGCGACTGGCCCTTTGCCTAGGGATAAGACCCAGCTCATCCTGACAGCCTGGGCTACCTTATTGTGTAAGTGCCTAGAACCTGTTTCCTAGGTAGTCTTTCTTCCTTTCCTATTTAATACACCTGGTCTGGGTCCACTCCTCAACACTCACTGTTCCAGAAGCATCCACCCATACCTTGTTTCATTCAATTTCACTGAAGACAATGAATTCTGACTGTTCTGTTTCTCTTAATCCAAAGCTAAAGTCTCCAGCACCAGACTGCTTCCTATGTCTTCTAGGATAGTTGTGCCCAACCACTGAAATATAGAAATATATATTTTAATACAAATGCCTTTTCTTTTATAAGATTTTATTGAGGAATTAGGGGAGTGGAACAGCATTGGGGGAATCGGGGAAGGGGAACAAACAAGTTGCTGTCCTTTTGTTCTTCAGTCTAGATGTGGAGGATGTCGCTTCACTGGCCCATGTTGGCATTATCATTGTGCTCTTCCGGGGTGAGGCAGTCTCTTGCCAGCCATTGGAAGGCCACTCACGGCGGCTCACAGCAGCTCACGCTGGCTGCCAGCCATTCACGGTAGCTCATGGCAGCCCAATGCAGCAGGGGCTACAGCCTACACCATCGCCAGCGACTCACAGCAGCCCAGCTCCAGGTCGAGCTGTTGTTCACCATCTTAGCGTAGAGGGTGCAGCGTCACTGGCCCTCATGTGGGATCCGAATTGGAGCCCTGATGCTGGCATCCCAAGCCAACTCTTACCCAACGCGCCACTCGGCTGGCCCCCTTTTATTGATTCTTTATGTGCACACATGACTTTAGAATTTTTGAAATTATGGGGATATGTAATATTATCTATAAAACTTCTTTCAGTATGGTAAAAGGCATATTGCAAATCCAATCATAAAGAGTGCACATTACACACAAAAATTAACTCAAAATGGATGAAAGGCCTAAATATAAGAACTAAAACTACAAAATTCCTAAAACAAAAACATAGGTATAAATCTTCAAAAACTTGGGTACATCAAAAACACAAGTGACCAAAAATAAGTAAATTAAAACCTTCTGTACTTCAAATAACATCACTAAGAAACTGAAAAAAACACCCACATAATAGGATAAAATGTTTGCAAATCATGTATCTGATAAGGCACTGGTATCCAGAATAAATAACTCTTACAAACTCAATAATAAAAAGATGAATAGCCCATTTAATAAATGGGCAAAAGATCTCAAGAGGCAGTACTCCAAAAAAGACATACAAATGGCCAATAAACCCAATGAAAAGATGCTCAACATCATTAACCATCAGGAAAATGCAAATCAAAACCACAGTAAGATACCATAAGATACCACTTCATACCCACTATATAATCAGTTCTACTTCTAGGTAGTTATGCAAGAGAAATGAAAACATATGTCCACAAAAACAAAAAACAAACAAACAAAAATCTTGTACATGAATGTTCACAGAAGCATCATTTGTAATATCCAAAAAGTGGAAGCAACTCAAATGTCCATAATGATGAATGGATAAATAAATGTGCATATCCATACAATAGAATATTACTCATCCATAAAAATTAACTAAGTACTGACACATGCTACAACATGGATGAACTTTCAAAACACTACGCTAAATGAAAGAAGCCAAGGACTACATAGTATATGGCCATTGATATGAAATGTCTAGAATAGGCAAATGCAGACACAGAAAGTAGACTAGTGATTGCCAAGGGCTGGGAAGAATGGAGGAGATGGGGAGTGACTGCTAATGGGCAAACACCTTCTTTTCTGAGATGATGAAATTATTCTAAAATTGTTATTGGTGATAGATACACAACCTAGTGAATGTACTAAAATCCAATGAATTTTATACCTTAAGATGGTGAATTATATGGTTTGTGAATTATATCTCAATAAAACTGCATAGTGAAAATAAGTAGGTGTTGAGTCTGTCAGGATTACAACCACTGGTCTAAACCCCATTTCTGGTACCTTCAGACTTCATGAGAGAAGTAACAGTTTTGTAGGGATGGGCCAAGCTTGTGTAGAATTCTATTCCTAAACACTCATCTCTGAAGGGCTTTACCTCCAATCTCTCTTACCCTGTAGAGAAATCCACTTAGGCCCAATGCCTGGATATCTGACTTCAACGGCTGCCATACCTCAGCTGTACAACCCCATCAGCATAGTTCCCACCATCTCTGTGGACCACACAAGATGTTTACTTTACTTGCTCAAATGAAGCATTTTTAAACAAAAATAGTTTGCTACCAACTTTAGTCCTGTCAAGTCACCCACCAATGGTGATAGAATCTGCCTCCCATTTCTGATGACTGACTGCTGACAGCTTTCAAGCCCCACCCCCTCACTTCACCACGACTTAACTGTCCTGTCTCCTTCCACCCCACATCTAGATAAGCTAACAAACCTGAGAGCTTTCTCCTAGGAGGTGGCAGGAAGTTCAATCCATGCAAGCCCCAACAAATGCAAGGCCACCCTAATCCCAGCTCCACTCTTTAATCACAGTAAAAGCCCAGTCAGTCTCCTTTTTCCTGCTCTCTCAGGCTATTTGTGTGTGTGTGTGTGTGTGGTTTAAAACAGCACTCATTTATTAAGTGATCAAGTGTTCACAATGACCCATGTCTTACTCCTCTGCTTTGCCTCAGCCACACCTCAGTCAGGCTTCTCTCCTCCCCACGGGCCCCCGAATGTTGGCGTTCCCCTAATCTTGAGGGAAC